GCACTCAAATATATCAAAACTGCAAACCAATATTCTTAGACTTCCTTAAGTCATTTGAATCAAAAAACAGGATTGATAAAGGATAAAGGATGCTTGAACAAGGGAAGTGGGTTGCTCTTGATTTCTCCCTTTCTGCTGTAGCAGAGCTTCCACCTCTGTTCAATTGGAAAGTACCCCTAAACTCCCCAGAACAGATTTGTAAGGGTAACATGAAAATGGCAAGCAGAAATATTCTTTTCTCTGAAAATCAAGGCTAATACAAACCATTTTCTAGAGTTTGATTTTAAAAAGAAACTAGACAACCTGTGACCCGTTGGGTCATCATTTCAGAGATATTTCCTTACCAAAACAGAGAAACAGAATGACCAAGGGCAAAAAAGCAGTGGGAGTGTGAGCAACTTGAGACTTGCTGTCAGCTTCCCCATTGACTTTACTTGTGGGAAGCTGGCAGGAAGCATCAGGAACCTACCTACCTACCTACCTTCCTTCCTTCCCTCCCTCCCTCCGTTCTAGGTTTTCACCATTTGCCCTCCCCCCACAACCCTCAGCACAGTCCCTGTGAAGCCTCCTCCTCCTCCTCAACTGACCTGCGGAACTGTCTGCCGCTTTGCTAGGGGGAGATGAAACAAAGGGAGTCATGGACCATGAGGAAAACTGCACCCCTGCTCCCCATTCCAGTGTGTACCCATGGGCATCCTCCCTCGACGGAGCAAGAGGGCTCACCCGTTGATCACCACGGCTCCCAGCCAGCCCTACCTCGCCAGCAGGCATCCAAGTCGTTCCCTGCAACGTCCACAGCCATTAAGAGATTTTAAATTTCTGCTTCGTTTCCGAAGCAGCCACTCGACCATCAGGCCTTGCTGCCAGCCGATTAGGCACAGGAGACAGAGGGAGGTGGGAAAGGGGTTGGGGATATGCCTATGACGATCACGTGACCTGGGCTCACTACAGCAGTGCAACAGCACAGCAGTGCTGAAACAGCCACAAATAACCCAAATTTCAATCCCACGAGAGTAATGGGTCCCAGATTTTGGACAGATTCTGTAAATTAGCCCATTTGACGTACCTTGGTTCAAAAGTTGTTGCCCTATGATGCACTATTTTGCCCAGTTGAAGGTTACAGACAGGAGAGTTTTAGTAGTGTATAGATTCCTCACTGCACCAGGATTTGTAGCATCCCAGATGTTTTATAGCCACCAAAGCACATACATATATACACATTCTGTGTAATACTGTAAGACAATTTATAAAGAGAGGTCTAAATTAAATGAGTATTTGTTTTCCATTTAATTGTTGTGCACCTCAATTTGCTTCCTCTGTGAAACAGAAAATGCAGCCATGTGTGTGACAAAGTTCTAATGAATTTCAACAGAACATTAAATTGCTGAAAAGTTTCAGCTGAATAAAACTGATTCTGAACTGCCAAAAGAATAAAAAGCTTGAGAGAGAAAAAGAAAAGAGAAAAAACATTATTTCAAACCCTAAAGAGATTTTGAGGGTTATGTATAACTTAGTCCTGGCTAGGTTTTACTTCTTTTTGTTATTTTGGAAAAGTTTTGAACTGCCTGTTGAATAAATTTTCAGGCATGCTAAAATCAAATTATAACTTCTATCTTAGGAATTACATGGCTCAAATTCTGAATAAAGATTTTTTTACTTTTTAAAATACAATTACACTTTGCAACAAAAATAAAACAAAGCAGGTAGAGATATAACAACTTTGGATAAAAAGATTTTTAACCATTCTATCACTACAAATGTTAATAAAAGTCAAGAAGTATAGAAAGAAATAAGGAAAATCCAATGTAAAAAAAAAAATTGAACCAAGGTACACTGAAACACACACACACACACTCCAGTTAGACACAGTGGTATCTGTTGCTTCTATGTAATGTAAACTTTACTCATATGGAAGGCAAAGATTTCATAGAACTGTTACTCAAACTTATATTTTTATTTTTTCCTCAATCATTATATTTCACACAAATCACTAACAAAAATATAAATATAGTATGGTATTCCATATTATACATTTTCAAAACATGGTTTCAAACTCATATAAAATCAATTTATTTACAATATTTCTATTCTGCCTAACCTCTGCAGAGTTAAGCAAACATGATTAAGCATAGTTCTAGATAAATATAGTAAAGCAATGCTTAATCATCTCTTCAAATGGAGTCCATGAACCAACCTCAAAAGAATTTTGATATTTTCATAAGAAAATAAAGTGCAGTAAAAATTATCAGATTTGTAAACTTACACATTAAATACAAGAGTACCTGCACTCTTTTTTTTTGTTTAAGTATTGAAAAGTATTTTTCAAGGCTTGGTAACAAGGAGAAACGCATTGGCAATGCATCAGGTTCCAAGCTCTGATCCAAAAAATACAATGCATATGTCACTGAGGTCATGCATATTTATTTTATGCATGCCAGTTAGCTGAGCTCTGAATTTGTTCAATCTTCAAATTATGACCAGAGATTATTAGCATCATAGCTCTAACTAATAGCTTCAAGAAAGAAAATCCAGATGCTTGGCCTAAAAATGAACACATTCTTTGTTGGTATAACATGAGTGTAAAATAATGCTCCCAAGCCAGCCCTACATTTGAGTTTAACTACAGATCCTCAAACTCGTATCCCATCTAACATAGACAATGCTGGCTGAGAATTGTAGGACTTGAGGTCCAACCATCCCCATCCCCTGGAGAAACAAAACTGTTTCATGCCCTAGATAACACTGTATGTATGTGGAATGTGTTGCATGTATTTTTATCATAGAGGATATGTTTGTATAATATATTTTTATGTATTGTTAACCTAACCATGGTTTATGCAATTCAGTTTTCTAAGATTTGACAACACACTGAAATACAGATCACATGAATTTGGCCTGTTTTTGGATATCAGGCTAAAATATGGCTGATTAGGTTTTGGTTCAGTGTGCTTCAGTGTATCATATGAACATATCCAGAGTATGTCTTTTATTTGGATGTAAATAAATACTCTTGCCTGGCGCGATATGGTTCATGGAGTCACGAAGAGTTGGACACGACTTAACGACTGAACAACAAAATACATACTCAAAATAGAGGTAACAACTGTGATGTATCTTTCAAAAGAAATATTGAAAGTGCAAACTATAAACTTGATTTAAAGTTTTTTTTTCCTAACAAATTATGACTGAATCACTTTGATTTTTAAGTCAATACACCCTGCTCTACTTACAACTTAATATCACATTTTAAAGACCTTCATCAGACTCTCAGTAGGAGACAACAAACAGCTGGAAAAGATGTTAACACTACAAAAGTAAAAGTAAGACTGGTTCCATGATACCAAGGGAAAGTGGGAGAAGAAGACAGAAAGGCAACAGCAGAATGGTTGAAGGAAAAACATCTGAAAAATAAGGTGTTATACTTGCATTATTCCTTTCTCCTAATATGTATACATAACCAAAAGAACCCAGCACCAAAGAATGCACAAAATAATCTACATTTGTTTCAGCTTGTTGAATACCAAATATCTTTTCCTGAAACAGGGGTTACGAAAAACTCATAAGTTATTTACATTTACTAGCATTCTGGAGAAAGAAAAACTTGCACAAACATAAATAAATGCATAACTTTTTAAAATCAAAAACTGCTGTTAATTCAAGTGTTACTGATCTTAGTTCCATGCAGTTTAATACTTTTAACTGCTGTGTATCACACAAAGAAAAAGTCTAAAATGTATTAGATTTAATAGACATGAGCCATCAATCAATAACACCATGCATATTTCACAAATATCACGTATGTGTTGCTTTCTAACACAGCAATGCAAGATACAAACATTCCTCAAATCACCTCCTACTAATCTCAGCTTTCATATTTTACCAAAAAGAGATCCCATCTAGCAGAAATACTGTTTTGTCTCAGAAGGAGCTAGAAGAAGATTTAGATCATAACAGAGGGTTCAATAAAAGGCTGGATGATATAATTCAACAACTAAAGCTATGGCAAGAGACCATTCTCCATTCACAGAGCACAAGTTTGGTATAAAGAGTGGTCCAACATTCAATTCTTGGCATCTCTAGTGCAAACAATTAGGCAGCAGGTGCTTAAGCCTGCAGAGCTGCTGCCAGTGACAGAAGTTAATACTGACCAAAAAGACTAAGTACATGGAATCACCTTCTGAAAAGTTAAGAAGATCTCCAGTCCTGAATGGAATATCAGTATATATGTTATCCTAAGCTATTTATCTCTATGCATAGTGCTTTTCCTTTTTGCAAATCTTCGCCCCAATTCAAATACTTTATCTGAACTCAAGCAAGCAGAAACCCAAGCCAAGATCATATTCTTTGATTCCAAAGTTTCTTCCATGGGTCAACTGGGAATTTTACTGAACTTAAGATAAAGACCTCATCAGCTCCTTGCACAGAAACAACCAAAAAACAATGTAACAGCAGATGGTTATAAATGAAATATTATATATAAAAAACTATCTAGCAATAAGCAGAAAACTGCAAGGCTGCAAGGGTATATGCATGCAACACTAGACATAAGGAATCTGTAAGAATTTGAAAATCTGTCTCAAGCTACATTCAATTAAAGTAGAAGAGAAGCAAAAAATTGCACAGAAGTATATAAAGTCAAGCATAGTATTCAACCTATTCTGTGCGTTCACATGCACCTGGTATGTCTCAAAATCATCAGCAAAACATAATATCCTCTACTGATATTATATAGAGAGATACAAGATGGAATTTAAAAATGTACACTACATTTATACAAACAACAGTATCTTACAGCTGTCTAGACAAAAATTTCAATGTTTTATGAATGAACCACTTGAGAGCAAATACTATTTCTCCAAACACATGAAGTAATACTGGGAGAGAGGGAAGAGGAGATGCAGGACTGCTTGATCCATTTTAACTAGAACAAAAAAAAACCCCAAAGGAGTAATAAAGATTAGAAAACTAAATGGATTTTACAGACATTATTCCAGCCTCACCTGACTTCTGTCTTTGTCCACTTTCTTAAAACATTTATTCAGTGACAGATTATGCCTCACAGAGTTTTTCCATCCAGTAGGAGCATTTGCAAAATAAGGAAAGTGTTCCAAAATCCAGTTGTATATATCCTTCACAGGAAGCCGCTTGTTTGGAGAGTCCTCAATGGCCATAAATATGAGGCAGCTAAATGAATAGGGTGGTTTACAGTTAGGGTTCTGCTTGGCATCGTAGGGCATGTCAGCATGAGCAGGAGATGGAGGGGTATCATCATCGAGGTCTTGAACTGGGCTAACACTTCTTAAGACTGAGTCCCCAAAACTTTTCAGCAAATTCTTACTCTCATGTAACCAGTTCAAATTGGTAAGTTCTTCATCTTCTATAGGACCTTTTTCCAATCGAAGGGTAGGTAAAGAAAAGTCTAAGTCCTCCTCATCCTGTAGAGTCTTTGATAGGTCACCATCTGTGTAACACTGGCTCAGTCCACTGGAAATGGTAATTCCCGAGCCCTCTGGCTTCTTACTGGGAGGCATAACTGGACCCATTTAGTCTGAAGCTCCTAATAAAATAAATCCAAATTTTACAAAAAGAGGTTAGGCTGATAAAAAAAAATATTCTAACAGCTTTTCTTAGTTTGCAGTAGGGGCTTTTATGAGGCCACACACACACACACACACACACACACACCCCCAACACATATCCACACTGATACAAAGGAACATTCAGAAAATAGAAAAACAATGGAATTTTAATCTTTGCAATAAAGATTACTGCATTTTTGAAATACTTTGATTCTTCTGCCTATAAACAAAACAAATAGATGTAGTTTTACACTAAGGCTGCCATCCTTTATCCATTCAACTTGAGTAATAAGCTAATACTATAAGTTGTACTTTCTTCTGAACACGCATACAAGTATGGACTCCAAATATCACTGGTCATATAGCTGTTACTGTTTGTAATAAGCACACAAAATTGAGAGCTTAAGACCAGTTGCTTCACATAAATTTCAACTGTTTCACTTCTAGTGTGAACACAGCCACATTATAACTATAGCCTCTCCAACTTTGGCTAAACACACAAACTGGCAAAAGTCCATGTTTACATACACACACATACACACCACATTTACAACCAAGCATTCACTCAGCTTCCCAAAGAAACTACCATAGAATTTGTGTTTTGCATTCAGAATTAAGATTTAGGGATCTAAATTCAAGTTAGAGAAGCAGAGAAAGGATGCATATACAGAAAAAGAATTCACTCCCACGATGACAAATTTAGCTGAAATTACAGTGAACAATGAATGTGACACGCGTGACTTAGAAGAAAGCATGAACACTGATGTCATACACCAATCAGTAGACACTGTTGTTGCTATACTGAGCCCAGAGAATAGTATGCAAAAATAGATCAGGCTATATTACATTTTAAAAATCAAAAGACACCAAAGCTAGAAAAAGTTTACAAAGAAACAGCTGTACGTCTGTCTATCTGATATTTGTTAGGGAAATATTTGTGAACGTATTGCAAACTTATTAATTAAACCTGAATTCCACTATCAAGATTAAACAGTGAAAGCCATATCTTAAGCTGTTTACCCTTTATCTGAAACAAGGTGATTAACAAAGATTCATTATTTTATCTATTTTCAATCAGTATTCCATATGTCATTGTCATCCCCAAGATACTGATCTCCACTCCTCATCGTGGTTTTGGTCCATCAAGGCTTTTACATACTACCTTTTAGTAAGGTAGAGAAGGTGTAGGCTAAGTTACCCACCTTAGCTGTACCTGTGCCACATGTAGCATTCCATGCTAACTATAAGGATAATACTGGTCAATTTTGGTACATTGACAAATATGCCACAAATACAAAGTTCAAGCATGTTCACACTTCACTATATACTCAAGATCTCTAAATTAAAACTAAAACAAATAATGTAATTCTTTACAGAGGTACTCAATATTTGTTTAGTTACCCTTTTTAGCCATTTGACAGAAAAGGGAAACACCTTGCTGACCTTGTGGAAATCAAAAATTTAAACAGTATGTACCCTGATTAGTACTCAGACAGGAGACCAACTAGAAAACTCAAAGCTGTATGTTAAATCTGGACACTGAAAAAAACAATCTAGAGAAGGCAATGTCAAAACACTTCTGTATTATTGCCAAAATAACTACTATATTTGAGCTTCATTCAAGGAAGGCTTCACCTTTAAACATTTGTGCAACTTTTGTAGAATATGTTTTCCTTTACTTATATCTACTACAGTTATGATCAGCATGTTGTATTAGTACTAATACGATGTTAGTGCATTGCATAAAATTTAAACAGGAAGTATCTACAGTATATGGCGCAACATTTTAATATAAACTTATCAAACATATACCCAGGCTTCTTCAACCTAATGCCCTCTAGAAGTACAACTCCAAAACTCCTTAGGAGCATAACCTCTGGGGAAGACTTTGAGCTTAAAGAACACTGAACAGTTGAATTTATTTTTTAAATAAAAAGCAAAATTGCATCAGTATTAGAAGCACCTCAAATTTAAAAAATGCAGAGTATTTTAATAACACATGACATATCAAAAAATCCTATGTAAAAGACTTGATGCTGTCAACATGCTTCAAAACATGAGAAAACTGTAATTACATAAGAGTTCATTAAAGTGAGTTGAGTAAAAAAATACAAAAAGAAAAAAACAAGACTCCTGGAGATAAAGGTTGAACAAAAATGAAGATTAAACTGGAGGAAAATATTAAAATATTTGATACGGCATAGTGCAGTTAGTTCATATCCATGCTAATAATGTGAAAATGTATTGATAACTCTTAAAAACAAAGTTCAGCAATTAAAAACAAAAAATGTGACTAAGAAGTTCTTTAAAATTTCAAAAGTTGGAAGCTACATATCCCTGTACTCTTCCTCTTGTTTGAAAGAAGAGGGGGTAGTGAAAGCACCCGGAAACATTGCTCAAGAAGCGTTTCCAATGCTGTTTTTACAAAATACAGTTTAAATATTTGAACAGTGTGAAGAGATGCTTCCCTGTGAAGACACTATTAGTACACTGAAACATGGAAGCACTGGAGGAGTAAAGGAGATTACTGCAATGTGTATCCCTAAAACATTTATCTCCCTGCCTTTAGTTGAAAGCAATGTAGCCAAATGCATTCAGTACGCAGAACTTATATCCCATGAGCAAGCTTTTAAATAGGAAAATTATATCATGGCTGACAACATAATTTAATTGCTCTGTTGCTATGACAACATGCTGCTCTCTTTCAGTTTAATTTGCTTACTTGCCAGCATTCTCCCAAAGGACTATATAATACCATCAATTTTCACACAAAAACTAGTGACTTCTTTTTAAGAGCTTATGGTAAACTGTGGCAACTCTTTACAATTTTACAGATTCAGGCTCAACTTCATGTTTCCAATGTGGCTCAAGTTAATTAAAATTATAACCCACCAAACAATTTATGTTTGGATTAACAGCCACAGCCACTTTACTACATGATTTAAGCATGTGATTTTATTTATATTTATGTAGAGTAAATGCCACTGAACACCACAGGGCAGGCTTTGGATCATGCTGTAAATGTCTCATGGATTCTAATAATAATCTTTGAAAAGTATGAATAACTTAATGAGAAATGCTAAGAAAGGTTTTATTGAAATGTACATTATAGCATGTATGTTTCAACATCAACAGCTTGGAAACTCTGTAAGAAGTGCCCCTTTTGCATGCACAAGGACAGCAACTTCCAGAAGTAATGCAAAAGATAGCATGTTTTCATCCACTCTAGAAGCTTAAGCATCTCTAGTGGGGGAGGTCTATCTGTACAGTTTGGAGAACAAAATTGGCAGCATTTCAGTTGAAAGGACAGCAATTTCATAGCTTAAGCTGCATTATGGAAAAGATAAATTCCAGTTTAGATTTACATGGAGGAAAAAAGTACACAGCAAGAGAAGTTTTAGAAACACAGCTGAGTTTTCCACAGCTCTAAAGGAATCTCTTTCCTGCAATTCCTATATAATGAAATACATGGGGGCTGAAGAATTCTAACTGAAGAATTACACAGAGATTACCAAAAAAATATTTTGTAAAGAGGTAACTCTATCAGATGTCCCCAGAATTTGATACCAGTATGTGTGTAAAACAAACGTTACTGCTGCTTGAGAGAGTTACAATCTTTAATATTTAGAGTTGTACAACTGGCACAACATACAAAAAGGGGGAAGGAGAAAGACAATTACTAGTTAATACTGTTTCTCAAAATAACTTACATCTATGTACTGACATATATTTGAAGACTACATCTGAATAAATATATATTTTAAAGAAATAATAAAAGAAGCACCAGACCAACATTTTAAGAGAAAAAGAGAGCAGTCAGGCAGGCTGCACTTTGCTTACACTCCCTACTGTACTTGTCAAAAACATTTGAAGGGGAGAAGGAGGCCGCTCATTGGTTGGGATTCAAATCAATCAATAGCGTTGCTAGGCGACTGGAAAACTGCACTTATGTCTATACAGTGCCATTTGCAGCAAACATACCTTCAATGCTGGTCAGATATCTTAAACCTTGCATTGGCCTATCTTCTTCTAGATCACGCCATCATATACGCCTCCCCCCAAAAAAGCTAACGAACATATTTCTCTAAAAATCATTTCAAAATTTTGCCGTTTTAATGCTAAGGTTCATTCTACTAGTCAAAAAACAACGATGGGATTTTAAAACTTAAGAGAAAAAGATAAATGCTCCCCCAAAACTACAGGAAGCAATTGGAAGCAATCACTGTCGCAAAAAAATGAATAATTATTAGAAATGTTGTAAAGATTGGAGCCGTCCTCATACCCCACCCCCCACTTCAAAACACAATATCAACTCTATTTTAGTTAGAACTAAAGCAGTAATAACAGAATTACACGTTCGGGTCGCGCCTGCAAACTCTCAGCTCGATCCGTTTCACCTGACAATACCGAGACAATTTACATCCCCTTATTTTAAGGACGAACAGGAAGTTGTTTTTAGACATTCCAAACTGATTTTACTGCGTCTTGCGCCCATTCACCTTTTCTTGTCTCTCGGTGCCTTCCCCTTCTTCTTTCGATTCCAATGCAGAGGATCTTACGCAATCTTTCCAGCAAAGGAATTACAGTTGAAAGAAAAGAAAATCCACACAGAAAGCAGAAAGGGACAAAACGCCCCACCATACATTAAACACAAATACACGCATACACACACACGTATGTTAAAAATCTAAACTTACCTGTCTTGGGCGAGTTCTAGATTTTCCCTGCTGCCTTTCCCGTGATCATTATGCAAACTTTTCATCCGATTGAACAAGGCATTGCTTCCTCCCCCAGCCTGAAGCCAACAATGTGGCCGAAGGGAAAGAGCGAGGGACGCGAGGGGAGCCCGGAGCCGAAAAGGAAATCCGAGGCGAGCATGGGACCCTGCTGCAGTTTCGCCCCCCTTGCTTCGCCTCACGCTCCAGCCGTCTCCCCTTCTTTTCCTCTCCCCCGCCTGAGTGAGTAGCGGTTCGGGTCGGAGGTGCTAGAAGAAGGCGAAATTGTTTCCACTGCAAACAACAAAAAAAAGGCAACACATGACCGCGGGGGGGGGAGGGAGGGAAAGAGGGAAACGTGGGCAGGGCCAGCAGAGACTAGTCGCCACAGCGGGAAGGAGAAGGCTGGGCTAGCGGAGGTGGTGGGTGGGAACGGGGGGGGGGGTAAAGGAAAAGAGGGGGGGCCTTAGTTGGCACCGCGATCCTAATTGCAAGACAAGCGCAGGGGTAGGTCGGTGTTTGTACCCGCGCGCTCCGCGGCGGCGGCGCCCGCCCCGCTCCCTTCTTTCCGCCTGAGGCCTGTGAGCCCTCAGAAATTCTCAGGCTGCCGCCTCCTTCGGCCTCTCCTTCCACCACTTGGAGAGTCCCAAACGTTGCACATGCCCTCCTCCTCCGGTTGTTCTGACTGGCTTCTCCCTCTTTCTTTCCCCTCCCCACCAGCCTACGTGTTATGTGAGTGAGCCTGAAAGTCACTTCAGGATGTGAGTGAGAGCGCGCGCGCCACCCTTCCGCGTAAAAAAAAAAAAAAAATTGACAGTTTTGCCTTCCAAAACTGCAACTACAAGATAACACCTGCTCGCCTGTGCTTAACGGAAAAGACCCACAAGAGGGAGAGAGTTGGGGGGCATCTTAAAGACAGAGCACTTCTATGCGTGTCAATTCTGAAGTAAGCCCCACTGAATTCACTGGAACTCACTCCTAAATAAATGCAGCTAATAGGATACAGGCAATAATTCTAGGAATTGGACTAGAACCAAGCTGTCTCTGAACATAGTTGCTCTTCCATCTAAGTCTTACCTGTGGCTAATATAACAATTGTTTACTTAAGTTGGGTTTTCTGGGATTGCTTGACCTAGAGAATCATAAACTAACCCCATGAACTAAGTTTGCACAATATGCCAGAGTAAAATGTGGCTGCTAGTTGGTTCCATGTGCCCTGCAAACAGAGCCAGTGAGATACTGTGACAGAAACTTATTTAACTGCTTTTCTTCATCAGATGTATCAAGTGTGATCAGTTGGAAGATCAAAATGTTAGAGACAGAGACACAATCTTACCAAACTATACTATGGTTTGCTTGGTTTGGGTTTAGCACAATTTATGAACTCAGATGTCACCATAAACCAGGAATAGTCACATGGTTCACACTGTTTTGGTCTACAGTTTTCAGAATCCCTGATCACTGAAATGAAAGTCTCAAAATCAAGGAGGCCACCAGGTTGGCTTCATGTAAACGCAAGGCCAAATAGCTGTATTATATCAGAGATCTTGTGATAGTTGTTGGCCAAAGTCATTGAAAAAAAATTTTTTTTTCAGCTGAATGCTATCCAGAGTTCCATTCTAAAGTATGTCAGCAAAATACTACTTTTTCTTTCTGTTCCCCCCCCCGCCCCCATTTGATGTGATCCATGGGGGAAATTTCACCTTTTTCCCCAAACTAAGAATGAATTTTCAAATTGGAAAAAGGATAGTTTTTACAGGTTATGGCAAATAGTTCAAGAAGGTTTCCCAAATCCATAGGAAATAAGGAACACAATATACCGTATTTTTCCGTCTATAAGACGATACTTTTTTTTTTAATCGTTACACTAAAAATTGAAGGGCATCTTATGCAAGGAAGTAAGCCGAGGAGAGAACCACGCGGTTGTGAAACTGCCCATACTTTGTCTCTGCAAACAGGCTTCTTCCAACCACGAGCCTTTAACTGACATCAGCTGATGCTGAACAAACCAATTGGAACACATCCCGTTGGAGGTGGACAGTGTGTAGGCAATGTGCAGATGCGACAGGGACCGA